ATGGCCTCTGTGCTGATGTCCATCATTATAGGTGACTTTTGACTATTCTGGAACTCCGTGTAAATGGAATCACACCATGTGTCCCCTCTGGAGTCTGGCATCATTGAGTCACATGTAGCCTGTGAGATTCACCTGTGTTGTGACATGGAGCCAGAGTGCATCCTTTTTTCTGCGTTGTGTCATAGTCCACTGCAGAACCTACAAGAAAGTACTTACTGATTCTCCTACTGAGGGCATTAGGGTCATTTCTAGTTTGGGGCTAAGATGCATGCAGCTGCTGAGAACATTCTTGTCTTTGTCTTCTGGTACAACATGGCCCCACTTCTCTTGAGAGAATGCTGAGGACAGGGATCACTGGGTCATAGCACAGGCATCTGTTCAGACTTAATAGATGCCAGACAGTTTTCCAAGTGCTATACCTCTTTCTCCTCCCACCAGCAACTCATGAGAGCCAGAGGTGCTTTTGAAAACTGTAAAATCCTATTCCAACCCTCCCCTGCTCCCACACTCTCCATGGCTCCCCAGTGCCCTCAGAGTAAAGCCTACACTCCTCTCTGTGGCCCATGTGGCCCTGTGTGATCTGACCCCCGCCAACCCCCCCCTTCCTCTCTCCCCCTTGCTCTTGCTGTCGTCATACAGACTTCTTGGATTTTTTTTAAAATGCCAAACTCGTGATCACCTCCAGGCCTTTGTGTTTTCAGGTACCCCTGCCAGGATCACCCTCTCCCCACATCTCCCCATGGCCGACTCTTTCCTCACATGGTCATCTCTGTGCTTCAGAGAGGACTTCCTTGAAATCTCTGCCTAACACGGCCTCTATTGTGGTCAGTACTTTTTTTGGAATTAGGGTTTTTTTTCGTTTTCTTGTTTTTTAGTCAGGTTTTGACATAAAGGAATTTCATAAAAATGACTTGGGCAGCTCCTATCTATTTTAAAGGTCTGAATTAGTTCAAATAACGTTGGACTTTCCTCTTCTTTGAGGTTCGATAAAATAGCTGTAAAACCGTCTGGGCCTGTTGCCTTTTTAATGGTAGATCTCAAATCAGTTTCCTTATTTTTTTATTTTTTATTTTAGCAGCTGACTGGTACAGGAAAGAAACCCTTGACCTTGGTGTTACAAGGCCACACTCTCACCATCTTAGCTAGCCAGCCGGCCCCTCGAGTCAGTTTTCTAATCTTCTATGGTTGTTGGTCTACTTGAGCTTTCTACTTCTTTTGAGGTCAGCTTAGCTCAGTGGTTAGCACAAGTTGATACTTAATCAATGCTAAGTATGAGGGTGCAAAGAAAGAGGTGGGGAGGTGCTGGACTCTCGCCTGCAAATGCCTATCCCCTCTTCCCATCCGCTGAAGCCCCCATCCAGCCTCTGCATCTAGGCCCCACAACATGCTTCCTCCCCTGAGAAGTCTTCTTGGATTTCTCCTGTCTTTCTTCCTTGCCCTATCCGCAGGTATATGGGTCTACCTCTCTACCTCTGTGCTGGGCAGATGCCGCAAGTCCTCTGCCTTCTGGACAAGGGGGGAATGGGGAGGGTATGTGTGTACAGAAGACTCCTCCCCAAACCTCAGTCTCCCCCCTCATGCCCAACACACTCAGCACACGCCACCACCTCCCCCAGCAGTTCCGATCACACCAACATCTGGAGAATGGGCCACCAGGGTCTGTCTGCAGCTCTGGGCAGGGATTTGCATGTGAGTACAAATATACATGCACACTCCAGGGCATCCGCCTCGTCCGCCTCCGCGTTCCTTGGCTGGCCCTTCACACCTGGGCCCAAGACAGGTCAACGCCGAGTGGCTGGATTTGCATACGCGTGTATTTCTGGGCAGGGTATCAGCTAGGGGAGTCTGAGAGGAAGTTGTTGAGGGAAGCTGGGGGGGAGGTCAGTCATGTTTCTCTTGACCTGCTCCACTTAACAGATTTTCCTGACCATTCCTGGGCCTGATCCAGAAAGGCTTCTAGTCTGGGTGAAACAAAGCTGGATACACATACCCCCAGCCCCATGCAGTCAGAACCAAAGGGGAAGGACAGGGACTGTGGGAGTCCAGAGGAACAGCAGGGAGGGCCACGATCAGAGCTGTGTGTTGGGTAGGTCCCTTATGGGCCAAAGTGGGGGATGAGTTTGGTTTTGGGATGATGGGATTAGGGGGGGTTCCAGCATCATCAGGGGTCAGGACAGTCAAACACCTGCATGAACTCATCTGTACCTGTCAGAGTTGGCTCCAGAGGTAACAAAGGACCTGGTGGCTTCTGGAGGACCCAAAGGGCCCTGGAATAGAATGACTTATAGAGTGAGGTACAGGCCTGGCACAGGGGGGGCCCCACCCCCCAGTCTCCACGCAGATGGACACAGCCCTGGCCTCCTCTCCAGGCTCCTGCCATCTCCACCCCAGCCCCCAACAATCCTGATCCCCACGGAAGCCACAAGCCGAGTTTGAAAATGATAAACAAAGCTCCAGCCCTTCTCTGCTCAAAATGCAGTTGTAGCTCTCCATCACTCTTGGGCCAAAATCCACAGTCCTCCGCACAGCTCCGAAGGCCCAGAGTGGCCCAGCCTCAGTGACCTCTCACCCTGCCCACTGACTCCAACCTCTGCTGTTTTTTGTCCCTCCTCAGGCCCCTTGCACTTGCTGTTCCTTCTGTCTGGAACTCGCTTCCTGTCTCGGCTCCTGGGTCTCAGTTCCAAGAAACCCCCCCACCCTCCAAGCTCCTGGCTCTTGGGGCTCTCCCATCGTGTGAACCCTGCTCTAGTCACAGTGTCCATGTCTAAAATGGGGACAGACTGGGAAGGGGCTGGAGTCAGGTCTTCCAGGCCCAAGACACTCAGGTCCAAGGCCTACCCTGGCCTCTGCTCTCATGGGACCCTAGGTGTGGGGGACATTTCCGGAGTCATCTTGGCACTGGGACCTCTGGGCCAGTGCCCCCATCCAGCCCTCAGGGACCCAGCAGGGTGGGGGCTACACATCCCAGCCGTGGGAACGTGCCCGATTCTGGCTGGGGATTAAAATTAGCCCTGGAGGTTAAATTTAGCAAGTCAAGCCAGAGCTGGGGGCTGGGGCCGATGGTCCGGGCAGGATCTGCACAGTTGTGAAGGCTCAGGGACCCGGCCCGGAGAGGGTGGAGAGTGTGCTTGAGGTCACACAGCAGGCTACATATGCATCCATTTGGGGTCTCAGGGGCCTGGGATGGCTGTCTGTACATCGGTGTGGTACTGCAGGACAGGCAATGTGATTCCTTTGTTCCGTGGAACCCTGCATGGAGGCACTGGGAGAGGCCTGGACCCCAGCATGCTGTGGGCCTTGGTTGCCCCCCTCCCCAAGTGATCCCTTCTGGGACCCCTACCATAGAGATCCAGGATCCCCATGAGGGGGCGTCCAGGCTTTCTCCCAAGTCACCGAGCAGACCTGAGGCCCCAACCTAGAGCCAGAGGCCTTTCCAGGGTGTCCCCATGTCCTCCTGCTGGAAGGTGGAACAGGGGTGGAATTTCTATTATTCTCTGAAAAAAATTTTTTTTCGACAGAAATAATTTATAATCACTGAAGGGAGAAAGTTAGAAAATTCAGATAGTCAAAAAGGGGGAAGGGTTGGCCAGTTGGCTCAGTTTGTTAGAGCTCGGAGTTATAACACCAAGGTCAAGGGTTCAGATCCTGTACCAGCCAGCCACCAAAAAGAAAAAAAAGGGGGGGTGGGGGAGGGTACAAAAGGCCACATGGTGTATGATTCCATTTATATGAAATGTCCACAACAGACATTCATATTCATAGACACAGAAAGCAGATTGGTGGTTGTCAGGGGCTGGGGGAGGGGGGATGGAGAGTGACTGCTGATGGGACAGGGTTTCCTTTTGGGGTGATGAGAATGTTCTGGAACTAAATGGAGGTGACAGTTGTACAACTCTTTGAATGTGCTAAATGCCACTGAACTGTGCACTTTAAAATGGTGAATTTTACATTATGTGAATTTCACTTCAGTTTACAAAGAAAGGGAAAAAAAACCTCACCTGTAATCCTCCATTCAGCAGTGACTGCCATCATGAGCATTTCCTCCTAGAATTTTTTCCATGCTTGGTGCAATGCTTGATATGTGTTTTCTTGTAATCACAACCCTTGATCTTGGTCTTGGGGAGCTGGGGAGCTGTTGTGGGATTGAGTAAGATGGAATGGGATTGAGTGAGATGGAACATGTCCACTGCCTGGACCAGCCACACCATGTGGCAGCTCAGCATGCATGAGCCCCTACGCATGCTGCCTTCTGACTTTTGGTGGCTTGGGATCACTGATATGATGACCGATGTTTGCTGAGCACTGCTGGGTGCTGGCATCTGGTGGGCCCCTAGCCTGGCCCATTGGGGACTTTAGACTGCTGCCAATATTCATCATAACCGTGTGTATATGGTACTTGCTGTGTGCTGGACAGATCTGAATGCCTCATGTGGGTTAGCTCATTTCTGTCACTATTATCACCCCTGCGGAGACAGGGAAACTGAGGCCCAGGAGGTCAGGCGCAGCTGAGGTCTCATGGTCACCAGCTTGTGTTGTTTTATTTTTATTTTTTTGGTGGCTGGCTAGTTCAGTGATCCAAGTCCTTGGCCTTATTTTTACGATGGGTTGTGTTGTTTTATTTCATTTTTTTGCAGTTGGCTGGTATGGGGATCTGAACCTTTGACCTTGGTGTTACAAGGCCACGCTCTAACTGATTGAGCCAGCCAGCCAGTCCAGTGTTTTGCTGCTTCAGATCCCAGGGTGGGGGCATCTGTACTCAGCTTTTCCATTCCTGGTCAGCCTTCTCCTCACATGGAGTTGGTGTGAACGTGTTTATTGAGCATCCCTGCATCCTGGGGCTGATCGAGGGTGGGGACTGCAGGGGTGACCCAGCCTGCCTTGGTTTTCTGCATCATCTTCCCCTTGGTGCCTGGCAGTGGCAGGCAGAGGACAGGGGGAGGCTGGGGTGCTCCTCCCCTCTCTTCACCCATACATTCTGTCTTCGCCCCCTTCTCCCCCAGACCAAGGTCGTTCCACCCAGCCTGGGAGGATGGGGAGAAAAAAGATTCAGATCTCACGCATTCTGGACCAAAGGAATCGGCAGGTGAGTTCACTGGGTGGAATAAATAGCGCCTGGGGGAAAGGCATCCTGGCAGGGGCACGGCTTGGGCAAAGGCCTGGCCATTTGAGGAACTGCAAGAGGATGAGGAGGCCTGAGGATCCTTGAAGCAGTGTCAGGAGTTTAAAATGAAATCTTTGCTTATTTTCATGATCATTCATTTATTTATTCTTCTTAATGACTGGAGCCCCATCACAGGGGAGACAGAGCTCGACACAGACACACCCAACTCAGAGAGCTGGACCAGAGGGAGGCACAGAAGTGGGGGAGCCCAGAGAGAGAGTGTGGGCTCTGCTTGGGAGGCCCAGGAAAACTTCCCAAAAGGGAGGGAAATTTTGGGCTGGGTTTTGAAGCACCGATAGGAGTTTGCCAGGTTGCAAAGTGAGAAGGAGCAGTGCAGCCAGAAAGAACAGCACAGGCAGAAGGTACAAAATCGTGTGGCATGTTTGAGCAGCAATCTGCCCCACCACGCCACCCCCGATCCTCGTCTTCGCACACTCTTCCCGCCCCTGTGGGTCCTGGGTCCAGGTGACATTCACCAAGAGGAAGTTCGGGCTGATGAAGAAGGCCTATGAGCTGAGCGTGCTCTGCGACTGTGAGATCGCCCTCATCATCTTCAACAGCGCCAACCGCCTCTTCCAGTACGCCAGCACCGACATGGACCGCGTGCTCCTGAAGTACACCGAGTACAGCGAGCCCCATGAGAGCCGCACCAACGCCGACATCCTCGAGGTACCCTGGGGACTCTTAGTTTGCACAAAAGGCAAGCATTGTGTCTGGCTTTGCTGCTGGTAAAAGCAAGTTTGGGGCAACAGAGGGTCCCTTCTAGAGGCAGCTGCCTGGACAGCAGAATCAAGAACATCAACCACTGTGCATTGAGGGCTGACTATGCAACCCTCACACACAGCATCTTATTTAGTTTTGTCACCTATGTGGTGAGGAGATGATCCCCCTCTCCTACAGGCGGGGACATGAGGCTCGGAGGAGTCCTCACCACCTGCAAAGGTCACACAGTGAATGTGGAGGAGGCAGGTTTTGAACCTGGGTCTGTCTTCACTGAGTGTGCTCTTAAATTCCTACCATCATAAATGGGGACAGAGAGAGACAGAGGGAGACCGAGACAGGGAGATAGATACATAGAGGGAAGGAGAGAGATACTCAGAGAGACAGACACATAGAAAGAGAGACAGAGCAGAGAGACACACAGAAAGAGACAGAGAGGGAGAGACAGAGACAGAGATATATACACAGAGAAAGAGAGAGACAGAGATTGTGAGAGACAGAGAAGGAGAGAGAAGGAGACAGAAAGAGACTGAAAAAGAGACACACACACCGAGACAGACAGGGGGAGACAGACCGAGGCACACACACACAGAAAAAGACAGAGAGGGAAACAGAAACAGAGAATAAAAGACACCACAAAGTAGGCCAACCTCACCGAGGCCCAGCAGTGTTTCTGTCTGAGCTGCTGCGTCCTCAGGAGAAAGAGACTGGAGTGGCCCTGCAGCAGCTGGCTCAGTCCTCACACCCACCACCCAGAGTGGGGGAGCGATCACTGTCCCTGTAGATGTGGGAATCTTTTCCCAGATCAGAAGCTGAAGTCATACAGCTGGAGAGAGCAGCAGGTTCATGACCATATCTGGGAGCCCCCAATGTTTTGGGAGAGGAGGGAGAAGCTGGCAAAAGAGAGGCAGGGGCCCAGGAGTGTGGACTCTGTGGTCCTAGGGGAAGGCAGCTCAGGACATCTGCTGACACTTGTTAAGCAGCCACTGCATGCCACGCTCTGAGGCTGCACATGGGGGCAGAATGGAGGTGCCCAAGTCCTGTTAAGGCCTGTGCAGATCTCAGCCCCTGCTGTGTGACCTGGATAGGTCTCTGGTTCTGAGGCAAGACAGTCCTTTTGTCGCACACAGTTGGAAATTAAGAGTCAATGGGGTTTGGCTGGACCAGGCCAGGCGTGCACTCTACCCCACTCACAGAGCTGGGTGGGGAAGGTCTCTCCCCACCCCATAGAACTGGGTTCCCTGGCTGGGGTAAAGGATGAGGCTACACCTTGTCATCTCCTGTCCCCACAGACACTGAAGCGGAGGGGTGTGGGTCTTGATGGGCCAGAGCTGGAGCCAGACGAGGGGCCTGAGGGGCCGGGTGAGAAGCTGCGAAGGCTGGCAGGTGATGGGGGTGACCCAGCCTTGCCCAGGCCCCGGCTCTATGTAAGTGACTCCCTGCCCCACAGTGAATGGTGCCCTCCCCCCACCTCCTAGGCCCCAGTGATTGAGGCTGGGGCTGAGAGAAGGACCTAGGGCCAGGGAGCCTGGAGTTTAGAGGCAAGTCTGCCTGGGTGGACAGGGGAAGCTTCCTCAAGGAGTGGGCATTGTAGCTGGGGCTTTGAAGGATGAATAAGGGTTCAACAGGCAAACAGATCCTTATTTATTTCTTTGATTTATCAAACACCCTGGGCAGCCCCCTCAGTGCCAAGTTTATGCTGACAGGCCTCAGCTCCGGACCTAGCTATTGAGAAAAGGTAGAGCCAGACACAGACTTCTGCAGCCTGTGGGGTTGGGCCACAGGGAGGGGCAGATAGGGAGCTCAGAGGGAGGAGAAGCGAGGGCCTCCTGAAGGTAGAGGCTGGCCTCTGAATTGTTGGGATTTTCTCTCTTGGACTTGTCGCCCCCACCCACCCATCCTGCCTGTCTGCCCACAGCCAGCAGCCCCCACTATGCCCAGCCCAGACATGGTGTATGGAGCCTTGCCCCCACCAGGCTGTGACCCCAGTGGGCTCGGGGAGGCCCTGCCTGCTCAGAGCCGCCCATCTCCCTTCCGGCCTGCAGCCCCCAAAGCCGGGCCTCCAGGTGAGCGTGGGACATAGGCCCTGGGTGGGGTTGGGGGCATCCTGGGGCTGGTGTGTGTGGACCTTGGCTCTGGCACTGCCTGGCTGTGTGTGTCACCACTCAACCTCAGACTTCATTAGATGACATGGCCTACCCTCTCTCTGGGGGTCTCCTCCTCCCCAGGACTGGCGCACCCTCTTTTCTCACCAAGCCACCTCACCAGCAAGACGCCACCCCCGCTGTACCTGGCTGCAGAGGGCCGGAGGCCAGACCTGCCTGGTGGTCTGGCCGGGGCCCGAGGGGGGCTAAGCACTCCGGTGAGTGAGGAGAGGGTGTGCTGGAGCTAATGGGGCAAGCAAGGCGGCCTGGGTGTGGGCCTCAGTTTCCTCTTCACCCTCTCTCCCCACAGAGAAGCCTCTACAGTAGCCTGCAGAGCCCGTGCTCCACTGCGGCCCCAGGACCCCCACTGGGGAGCTTCCCCTTTCTTCCCGCAGGCCCTCCAGGTAACACTCCAAACTCGCCCGACCTGGGAAGTGTCCCCACGCCTGCTCCCCCACCCACCAGGACTAAACAGTGGCCCGTGGGGTGAGTCAGGCTTCTGCAAGGGGGTCAAGGAGAGCTTGAGACCTGAGCCTACCCCTCCTGCCCATCAGAATATGGCCTGGGAGACCCTCCACCGGCCCCTGGCCTGCTGCAGCCCCCCACCCTGGCTCCCTGGCAGTCCTCCAGGGGGGACGGTCCCCCGGCGGCCCCCGCCCAGCCCAGGTAAGCCCCTGACCGCGCGCCCAGGTTCTCCGACGCCCCTAGCTACTGCTGACCCCTCGTGGCCATCCCTGGTACTGCGTGCGGCCCCTCCCGGCGGTTCTTGGTGCGGGTGGGCGGCTATTTTGGAGGCCCCAAGAGGGACCGCCATCCCCTCCTTTCCCAGGGCCCTCCTGCCCAGCCTCTGCCCACACCATGCCACCTCCCGGGCTTCCTTCCCCTCCTCGCTGGGCTCACGGCTCGCTTCTCTCTCTCCCCCTGCAGTGGGGGCCGCAGCCTGGGCGAGGAGGGGCCCCCTGGCCGCGGCACCTCCCCGCCGACCCCCCCACTCAGCATCAAGTCGGAGCGCCTGTCGCCGGCCCCCGGGGGCCCCGGCGACTTTCCTAAGGCCTTCCCCTACCCCCTGCTCCTTGCCCGGTCCCTGGCAGAACCCCTGCGGCCCGGGCCTCCTCTGCGCCGGCTGCCCTCGGCTGATGGCTGGCCCCGGTAATGGACACCAGGTGGCCCCGGCCAGGTCCCCTCGCCGGGCGAGGCGGGGGTACGCGGGGACCCAGCCTTCAGGCCTTCTCTCGGAGGGCCAGCAGTTGCAGCTCCCTCTGCAGGGGGCCTGCAGGGGGCGCTGGATTCGGACCCCCCGTTGGGGGTCTCTTTCCCCCTCCTGTGTGTGTTTCCACCAATAAAACACGCGTGGCGTCCGTGGACGAGACTGTCGCTGCTCAGAGTCCCCCTCCCCAACGGCCTCATTCTTTACTCGCCTTGGTTTAGGGTGCCCCCTCCACAAGCCGACCCTGAGGGGACGACTCAGGGCGCACGGGGTACCGGGAGCGAGGCCGGGCGGAGGGGTGCGGAGCGGGGGCGCCCTGGGGACGGCATCGAGGGGCCCCACCCCAGGGATGGGGGGCTGCTCTGTTTACCCTCCAGCGGGTAACCGCGAGCCCCCCTTGACCCAGCGACTTCGTCCCACCCGAAAGGCGGGGGGGGGGGGGGGGGGGAGCAGGGCGTTTATACACCACTCGGGAGGTGCAAACTGCCTGTGTGAGAGGGCGGGTTTGGGTGCCCAGGAGCCAGAGGGAGCTCCCAGCAAAGAGCCACCGGGAGACAGTGTCTACACGTCCTGCCCAGCCACCCCCGGATTGGTCTCAGAGGGATCATAACACTGAAGATCTGACCCACGCCGTTCCCTGATCACCTGTCTGAGGCTCGTCCTCATCCCTCATTCTTCATCCTTAGGAGGAAGCTGAGCTCCTCAGCTGCCCCGCACACCCCACCCCACTCTACCCCTGTCTCCCGTCTCCCCTACCTCCCGTCCCCTGCAGTTCCAACGTGAGGACCATGCTGGTCTTCCCTCCCGCAGCACCTCCCTCAACTCCCAGCTCGCCTCCTTTCTAAACTCCTTCCCAAGGGCCGGCCCGTGGCTCACTTGGGAGAGCGTGGTGCTGACAACACCAAGTCAAGGGCTCAGATCCCCTTACCGGTCATCTTTTTTTTAATTAAAACCAAAAACAAAAATAAACAAAAAAAACTTCCCACCTTCCAAGGCCCAGCTTCACTCCCCCCTCCTCCAGGAAGCCTTCTGCACTGTCCCAAGCCGGAAAGTGGCTGTGACTGCGAACTGGTACCATTTGTATCGTTTTATTTTTATGTTTTGGCGGCTGGCCGATTCGGGAATCCGAACCTGTGATCTTAGCAGTACAAGGCTGTATTCTAACCAGCTGAGCTAACAGGGCCTCTGACTGTGAGCCAAGACACAGTGTTTGTTGAGTGGAGGTCACACACTTGGACAGGAAGATGGAAAACACTGTGTTGGCATCGACGCTTATAAAACCCGCCACCCCTCCCCCAACACTCTGCTAAAGCTACAGCCGATTGGCCCAGCTCAGACAGAGGTGGGCGGGGCAGCTTGACAATTTCAAGACCCTCATCCCCTCTTGTCACCGCAGCGCCCCGCAGTGGAGTTTCCCCTGTGAGCGCACACAGTCCGTGCATAAGAAGCCTCAAAATCAGTCACGGCCTCTGGAACTCAGCACCTTCCCCTCCCCGGTCCGCAGCCAAGACTTTGGTTCGGGCTCCGTTGAGCGGGACGGGGAGAGCTAAAGATGTATATGGCAGAAGATTTTTTTTGTTTGTTTTTATAGAAGGTGACGGGTAAGGGGATCTTAACCCTTGACTTGGTGTTGTCAGCACCACGCTCTCCCAAGTGAGATCCGAACCTGTGGCCTAGGTGTTATCAGCACCATACTCAAGTGAGCCATGGGCTGGCCCTTGGCAGAAGCTTTTTTGTGAGATGGGGACTCTTGCCTAAGTGACTGTGTATAGAGTGTCATCTCGGCTGGGGTTTGTCCCATGTGACCTTCCCAGTCCTGGCCACCCTCAAAGCTGGAGCTTTGGTGTCTCAGTCTTGGGACAAAGCATGATCAAAGTGTGGAACAGCCCCCTCCCGGGGCTCCCGGGGCAGGTGGGCTGGGGCAGTGGCCCAAGGAGTGGCATTCTGTGGGTGTTTGAGGCAGATCCACCAGGACTCGAGGATGACTCAGAGGTGGGGGTGAAGGGAAGAGGGTGCCTAGGTGACTTGAAGAGATTTCTTCCACCCAACTCAGACTCAGGCCCTAAGTCCCCTCCTGGTCCCTTCTGTCCCCCCACCACTCAGAGGAGGGGCGCGCCATTGCCCCGCTCCAGTGATCAACGGACTCTGAAGGTCGGGCCAAGCATGCAGCCCCTGGCACACCCAGCAGCACCGTGGTCACATGCACAGCGGCATCAGCCCACGGGTGCAAAATCTCCACCTGGGTAACCTACCCTTCTGGGGACCTCCCCATCACAAGGATCTTGGCCTTCCTCATGGGGTAAAGCACTGCCCACCCAGTGGCCCCCCACACACGGTGTCACAGTCACAGCCTCTTTATGCAACCGGACACAGGACCAGGTTCTGGGGAGGAGATGTGGGGCAAAGGCAGCAGGTGCCTTGGGGGAAACCGAGGCATGGCTGGAGAGAGCTCCTTCCCAGGCTCTGGATCTCACCCCCACGGTAGACAAGAAGCCGGGCCAGTCACTGACATCAGTTCCCTTAGACTAAGCGTCCAGTGTGAGACGCGTTGAAACGTGGGCTGCTTTCTAAGGGCCGGTGGGCTTGGTCCTACTTCCCCATCCCTGGGAGGCTGCACTTCTCCCATCTGCCACCAGGTGGCGTCTGATGGTGGGCTTCGAATTCGGCGCTCCCCAGCCAAGCGTAAGAAATAAAACAGAAACAGTGATAAATTAAATCCTTCTGGAGGACCGACCCCGTGTTTTCAGGCTCTGGGTCTGGGAGAGAGGTCATGTGACACAGGGAGGGCTGTGTCACATGCTGTGTGTGTGTGTGTGATTGTGCATGTACAGCTCAAGGAGTCCTGGGCCATGAATGCGTCTGGGGTCAGACCCCCGCTCCGTCCCCGTTGCTCTGTGGGTCTCCCCTTGTAAAGGAGGAGGGAGGGTTGTGTGGAAGCCATTCTAAAGACACCCACAGACAAGGACACCATGGTGAGGTCAACCAGGGCCAATGTCACTATTAGTCTTTCAGGATCACAGTCACTGGTTGGAAGAACCCCTGGGAAGAGTGGCCCGGGCACAAACACGGTGACAGAAGTCTGAGCACTGGGGCATCCGTGGAGACCTGAGAGATGCATTTTCAAGACCTCCGTAGGCAGAGATGGCGGAATGGTCAGTGCTCAATTTCCTTTGTGGGGATCGGAGGGACCTGGGGTCCTGCTGAGGGACTTTGTCCCTCTCGGGGGGCCCCGGGTCTCGCTGCAGAGCCTCTGCGGGGGTCGTGCGGAGGGGACTGGATGCCTCTGAGCGTTCTGGGGGCTCTGGCAAGCCTCTGCGGACGCTTTAGGGGCCTGGGGTCCTGCCGCGTGGTCGTTGTCCCGCAGAGGAAACTGGAGACTGCCGGGGTGGTCTGGGGTCCCGCCGGGGCCCACTCTGGGGACGGGGACCCTGCAGCAGCGTGGGGCCACACCGACGGGGCCCGTCGGAGTCCATGCGGGTATCGGGGTGTAGGGCAGGGGCAGGGAGAGCCCTGAGAGGTGGGGCCCGGCTGAGGGAGTCTGGTGGCCTCAGGCCGGACGAGGGTCTCAGAATCAGGGACAGCACAGCTGTCACGCGGCTCTGGGCCCATCCCGTTGAGTGTGTTCTTCACACTTGGCTCAGCCCCTATGGGCCGGCCTGATGCCGGGCAAGGGCGGGACCCCTGCAGCCTTGAGAGGTCCTGCCTGGGCAGAGGGAGGCACAGCCCTGGAGCCTGGACGGAGTGTGGGAGGCTGTAGGCGGTGAGGACAAGGGCTCTCGGGACCAGGATGGAGGAAAGTCGCATTGATTTTAGCAGGGTTCTCAGGTCGTACGTCCAGGGAAGGGATTTGAACAGGGGAGGGACGTGGGCTCCGGAAGATTCTCGGAGATATCTGCAGAGAGTTGACCCTGAGACTGGAGGCTGCTGGGTGGCCGGGAGGCGAGGAACATCCTTGGATGGACCTTGGGAGCCTTAGGTGGAGCGATGCATCACTCCTCCCCCCCCCCTTTCTCCTTACTCCTGTCCTTCCTGGCCGAGGTGCTGGCATGCAGTGTGAACCAGGGGTCTCCTCCCTGGGAGGTTTCAGAGGGTTATGGGGTCAGCGATGAAGAACCCGCGGGTCCAGGAGGGCCTCTGAGACCCGATTCATTGGGTGCAGAGAAGGCTGTGGATAGAGCCGGGTAATGAAGTCGGGTGGTCTCCAGCTGGGTCCTCAGGGCCTTGCTGGCTGCAGAGCGGAGTTGGGGGTTGATCGTGAGACTGGGAAGGGCCTGAGCCACCTAGAGGGGCATAGGGCGGTGTCCGCAGGAATGGTGGGCCTGGAGGAGGCACTGGGGTTCTAGGAGAAAGGACAGGGCTACAGAGAGCCCCCACCCACTGGGCTTGGAGCGGCCTGCTGACCTGCGGCCGTGGTCAGTAGTGCCCGCTGGCCTGTCTGTTCTTGGTTGGAGGGTAGGGCGAGCAATGAGGATCTGGAGACAAAGAAGATGGTGCCTCCAACCTCATTTCATTACTGAAAAAAAGACTTCTGTGAGGCTGGCCGGCTAGCTCAGTTGGTTACAGCATGGTGCTGATAACAGCAAGGTCCAGGGTTCAATCCCTGTACCTGCCTGCTGCCAAAAAAATAAAAATAGAAAAGATTTCTGTTCTCACTTTATAAGTCAAAGGCATAGAGAAAATAAATATCATATTGGTCAGTTATTTTTATTTTTTTATTTTTTATTTTTTTTTGTCTTTTGTCTTTTTCCGTGTTCGGCAACGGATCGCAACCCTCAGTGTCGCCCCCGTACCGGACCGGGGACCGGCAACGGGATCGCAACCCTCGGTGTCGCTCCTGCGCCTCGCTCAGCCAGTTAGCGGGAACCGGTCCGTATGTGGGATCCGAACCCTCGGGCGGGAGCGCCGCCGCGCTTCCCAAGCGGCGCACCATCCAGTGCGCCACCGGGCCGGCCCCTTGGTCAGTTATTTTTTTTTTATTTTTATTTTTTTAAAAGATGACTGGTAAGGGGATCTTAACCCTTGGATTGGTGTTGTCAGCACCACGCTCACCAAAGTGAGCAACCAGCCATCCCTATATGGGATCCGAACCCGCGGCCTTGGTGTTATCAGCACCACACTCTCCCGAGTGAGCCACGGGCCGGCCCCTTGGTCAGTTATTTTAACGATGGATTTCTCAGCAGTAGTTCTTAGCTCTGATATCCATCACACCAGAGCTTTTTCTATTTAAGTTAGCTTTTTTTTTTGCCTGATTAAAGGATTATTTTAATAATTAATTGTAATATTCAATATGAACATAATCTTTATTTCGTTTAAGTTGTTGATTACAATACTAGAATACTAGTAGACAGCTCTCCTGAGCCCATAATTTTACATAATTACTCATAGCAGATAGGTATTTGCTGAATTCAAGCAGGAAAACCCAGCTTAGCATCAGACTGATTTTTTCCAAAACGTTTAAAAATAAGTACACATGAAAACGTGTTCTGAATTATTGTCGAAAAGGTTGTTATGTAGAACTTGGTGAGAAGATTCCAATTTAAAAAAAAAACCTATTCCACTCAAACGTCTAAGTCTTTATACTGAAACAGATAGTGGCCAGAAGCGTGGATGGCTTCCCAAGGAGGTTGATTACAAAGAGAGGAGGGGTGATGGAGCCATCGGGGATCATTTCAGGTGGGAGAGACTTAGAAGAGCCAACAGGAGACGCGGTTGGTGCATAGTGGAGGCGCAGAGGGCAGTGGGAGGGAAGCCGCTTTCACTGGGTGCGCGGGGCTCGTGGTAGGGCCGGAAGGTCGTCGTGACGAATACATGAAGCAAATTAGAAACACCCCATTTCCAGAAGACAAAACCGAGACGCCAGGACATTCATACCCGCGAACGAACCCCAGCCTCTGCTCCAGCCAGAGATGTGGGGGGCTGGCCTCTGACAGGGGGCAGGGTCGGGCCAGATGGAGGTCCGCGCTCAGCAGACGCTCAGATGGTTGAGTCCGGGATCACCACAGGCCCCTCCGTAAGGCCTCTGGAGCCAGGGAGGCCGCGCTCCCCGGTCTGGCCTGCTTCGCTATAAATAGCCTGGGTTCTGCAGGAGGGAGCTTGTGACCCTCTGGCAAGCACTGCCCGTCATGTCCCCTCCCCCAGGCGGTCCTCGGAGTGCAGCTGGTGGTGACCCTGCTCACTGCCACCCTCATGCACAGGCTGGCGCCGCACTGCTCCTTCGCGCGCTGGCTGCTTTGCAACGGCAGGTGAGCCCCGCCCCTGGGCGCGGAGGAG